TGATTATGATATAGAACGTGACTTAAAATCGGAATGCTTTCACCCGTCGATTTACCTTCTTTGATACACAGGTAGGGGAACGAATTTTGTGTCGCCATCCATTTAATGAATCTAAGAGGGCATATGTGGTTCCACAGTGTGTTGAGGAACTTCTGAAATGTTATTGGACTGGTAGATCAGGTAAGAGTTGTTGGTTTCTTAAGTTACCATAGTTATCATCTAGACATGGCCATTTGCTGTGTTGTTAGCTGACAATGCTAAACCCCAGGTGGTCGGTAAATTGATTTCTTATAGAATATATTCCTCATGAAGTCTTTGACAGTTTATTACTTTTTTTTTTTTTCCCTACGCAAGAATAGAACCCTAAAGACGTTTATGTATTGGAAAATATCTAGTGATCAAAATAAATTCTACCTGTTATATTGTGTTTTTTAAAACTTCTTTTTAAAGGAAATAAAAGGTTACTGTTTAACATGTCTAATCCCATATACCAAGACACATAAAAAAAAATACCATGCCTGTTACTAAGAATAACAGTAATCCGCACCATAGTAGACAAAGGAGTTGCAACATTTTCCTTTGGTTCTTAAAAAAATTTTGGTGCCCCATTTGTACAGGGTCATCTTTATTAAAGATATTGTCTATTAAAAGTCCAATACAAGTTAATATTGCATGCCAAACATGCACTGTGAATAACGTGAGCATTTCGAAAGCTACTTTTGTTTATTATTCAACCGAGTAATGTTGCTTCGTGTTTTTGCTTTCTGAAGGAAAAGACAGAGAAGAGTTGCCACCCATTAAACTCATCAGAGAACGCTGTATTAAACAACTGGGCCAGATGAGGCCTGATCACATGAGAAGGTTGAACCCAACACCTTACAAGGTATGACAAATACACTGTACTTGATAATGTATCTTTGAGAAACAATTAAAACTTCATATATTAAAGTCTGTATAATTATTGGATGATATGGTATTCTTTTGTGAAATATTAGTTGACTCGTGAAAACTCTCCTTTTCCCGGCAGGTTAGCGTGAGTGCAAAGTTGTACGACTTCATTCATTTCTTGTGGCTCAACGAAGCACCTGTTGGAGAGTTGCAGTAAGAATGCTTAATAATATCAGAGAAGTCGATGCAGCCTAATTAAAGAGTAGGAATTTCCATATTTTGTTTCTGTAATTGGGTTGAGGTTGAGGATAAGTGCACGTTCTTGTTTCCTTTCAAGTGCCCGTTCAAATAAATTATATAAATACATGTAAGGTTGGTTTTTATCTTTTACTTAGTGCCTCATTTTGTCTGTTGTATTAGGTCTATGTAGCAAATGTTTATATAGGAACCAACCATTTACTTTTTCTAAAGTAATGATAACTACTTTGCACTTTCTGGTAGTTTTATATAGGCACTAATCTTGTACCTTATAAAAAAATAAACTAGACCGACCGGTATATAAAAACCGAGAACCAGTTTAAATTTCTCGGTTTTCATATAAGAAACCGGAAATATCAAAATTCTTGAGAAAAGCTTAGAAATAAATACATAATGTTGTGGTGTGATCCAAATTTCATGTGATTTGATATTTGGTTAATTGAAGAAAATCTAAGGTAATTGGGTTTGTAGAGTCATAAGTTGTGAAGATCAAATTTCAATAATAATTAGGAGTTTTGCTTGAAAA